GAGAGTCCAAGGGTCATTGGAGATGGAGTCAGTATAAGGGAGTATAAGGTGGAATATAAAGAGGAAGCTGGAGGTGAAAGTCATGAGGGGAAAGAGAAATGGCTGGAACGAAGGACAGGAATGAGAACCGAGTTCTGTAAAATTGATGGATTGAGGCCTCAGATGCCCCACCGATTCCGAGTGTCAGCTGTGTATGCAGACGGGACTGTGAGTCACCCAGGTGAGGAGGTATCAATTTCCACATCAGGAGAAGAATTAAAGACACTAGTACAAGATTTCTTCAAGAAGAGCACTCTGATAGAAAAAGGGCAGCCCTCAGTGTATGCACTTCCAATAGAGAAGGCGGTGTTTGGTTCTAATGCAACATATCTAAAGTATAGACTGGGGAAAGAGAACCGACAGATCCCTAACAAAGTCATTATGGTGATGGGAGAAACTGGGTCAGGAAAAACTACTCTCATCAATGGGATGATCAGTTATGTCCTGGGTATGCAATGGGAAGATGAATTCAGATTCAAACTAATCCATGAGACTGCAAAGAGAAGCCAAGCTGAGAGCCAGACATCTGAAGTGACAGCCTATGAAGTTAATTACAAAAAGGGTTTCAAAGTCCCCTACTCCCTGACTATAATAGACACCCCGGGATTTGGTGACACCAGAGGGATAGAGCAAGACAAAGAGGTAACAAGGCAGATCCGAGAGTTTTTCTCCACCCCAGGGGCCATTGATCACATAGATGCCGTCTGTGTCGTAGTTCAGGCCTCACTAGCTCGTTTGACACATGCCCAGAAGTACGTGTTTGACTCAGTGCTCTCTATCTTTGGGAAGGATATAAAAGACAATATACAAATCCTGATCACCTTCGCAGATGGACAGACGCCCCCTGTTATAGAGGCCATTAATACAGCTGATGTCCCTTGTGCTAAAGATGCTGATGACATCCCTGTTCATTTCAAATTCAATAACTCCGCACTCTTTGCCTGTAATGCTGGAGCTGACAAGGGCAGTTTTAATTCTGATGAAATGTTCTGGAAAATGGGAGCCATGAGCATGAAGACATTTTTTGAATCCTTAGTTAAATTAGAAACCAGAAGTTTAACATTAACGCAGGAAGTTCTCAGAGAGCGGAAGGAGCTGGAGACGGCCGTGGAAGGGCTGCAGCCACAAATCAAAGCTGGTCTGATGAAGCTAGAAGAACTGAGAAAGACACAGGAAGCTCTGGAACAGCATAAGGGTGATATGGAGGCCAGTAAAGACTTTGAGTATGAGGTGGAGATATCAGTGTCAGTGCAGAAGGACATCTCTGGTACAGGTAACTACATAACAAACTGCCAGCAGTGTCACTATACGTGTCACTACCCCTGTAAAATCCCTAATGATGATGGTAAGCGTGGGTGTGCAGCTATAGATAGGAATACAGGATATTGCACAGTTTGCCCTGGTAAATGTTTCTGGAATGTTCATTTCAATCAAAAGTACAGGTGGGAATATAAGGTAGTAAAAGAGAAACAGACCTATGCACACCTGAAAGAAAAGTATGAGAAGGCATCTGGTGAGGTGTTATCGACACAGAATTTAGTCGAGAAGCTGTCTCAGGAATACGCTGCAGTGCAAGAGATATTAATAGAGCTTATTGATAAATCATCTCGCAGCCTCCAACATCTGCAAGCAATTGCTTTGAAACCCAACCCGCTGTCCACTCCGGAATACATTGACCTGATGATCATGTCGGAACAACAGGAACAAAAGCCCGGGTACCAAGAAAGAATAAAATCACTTCAGGGTGTGAGGGAAGTAGCTGAAATAATAAGAAAGATTGCCAATAATGAGGCCTTGCTGCCAGAAGAGGAGGATATGCACAAGAGGCGTGTAACGGGATTCACTCACCACTCTGGTGTCTCCTCGCGGCCGACACGGGAACCAGCTCCGGGAGCCAGTGTGCCCTGCTCTGGTGATGCTCCTCCTGTCACCTCTTCTGCTCCTGAACCCGTGTCCCTCCAAGGATCCCGGTGTCATGTTCAGTGACACAGCCCTCCAGCCATGCCACACTCTGTGCTCCCCCTTCTGGAGGACGTCTCTACAGTCCCTGTCCAGCCACTTCTCTCAGTGGTGATTGCAGTCTACTGTCTAGCCACTTCCCCAGTGGTGGTGGGACCCTGCAGAAGGCCGCTGCTTGCTGTGCATATTCAGGAACTGTTCCTGAGCAACCAAATCACACATTTTTTAAAGGCCTGTAATGCCTTTTCCCCTCACCCACTTGTCTAGTAAATCTCTCATTTCATTTACATAAGCCACATTACTTAATCCAGCTCCCCTCTTAAGGCTCCTGAATTTTATCCTGTAGATTTCAGGTGTAATCTGAAACTGTTTTAAAACCAATTCCTTAGATTTACCATAGTTTGAAGCATCAGCAATAGTTATCTTATTGAATAAGTCCAGAGCTCTCCCCGTCGATTTTGCAACAAAAGTAGTCATCTTTTGATCCTCAGAAATCGCATGGAGAGTGCACAGTCTCTCAAAGGTGATGAATACTCGGCAATATCACTGGATTCATCGTACGGTGGGCATAACCGTTCCCATTTATGGATTTTTGGGGAAGTGGAGCCAGCTGCTGGAGGGTTCCGTCTCTTCCACTCCATCACCTCCAGTTCATGCTGCCTCTCTCTTTCCTTCTCCTCCTGAGCAACTTGCTGGGCTAACCTCTGGCTTCAATTTCTTTGTCTTTTAAATCCAGTGCTTGCTGGGGTGCAGCCCTCTCCTGGGCCACCTTCTCATCAATCTCCATTCGTCTTAATTCCATCTGCCTTTTGTGTTCCCTTTCCTTTTCTTCTATCTAGCTTCTGTGAAGTTCAAGTTTCTTTTGCACTTCACTGTCACTCATTTTGCTTACTTTTCTGTCCCTATTTCACTTACCCAAAATAAGCAAACAGAAAATAACAACCAGTAACCACCTTGTCTGTTCTCCAGCCAGTACACTTAAAACTCACTTAAAATCACTACCAGTGTCTCAAAGCAATCAGTTGTGCACAGATCCTGCTCGACTACACCATTGTGATGGGTTGGGTCACACAAACTCCCTCAAGACTGTCACTAGATGTGCTGGGATACCATTGAGAAGAAACCCCTCTGCCAGAAAAGGGTTCACACCACTCCTGTCTGTCTGTGCTGGACACACCAGTCGGCATGCAGCACAGACCAAGAGGTTGGGTCACGTACCCCTGCAGTTCACAGAAACTGAGATTCACTCCGTTTAAGGGCTTCTCAGTTAACAGGGACTTTCCCAGCACCCAGTATTCAGTCCTTCTGGGAGCCTAAACCCCAAATAAATCCATTTTACTCTATATAAAGCTTATACAGGGTAAATTCATAAATTGTTTGCCCTCTATAACACTGATAGAGAGATATGCACCGCTGTTTGTTCCCCCAGGTATTAATCACTCACTCTGTGTTTATTAATAAACAAAAGTGATTTTATTAAGTATAAAAAGTAGGATTTAAGTGGTTTGAAGTAATAACAGACAGAACAAAGTAAGTTACTAAGTAAAATAAATCAAAATACGCAAGGCTAACTTAATACACTGAGGATCTAGTTATAGGTAATATCTCACCCTCAAAGATGTTCCAATAAACATGCTTCACAGACTGGATTCTTTCCTAGCCTGGGCCCAATCCTTTCCCCTGGTACAGTCCTTGTTAGTTCCAGCTTACATCTCAGGTGATAAACAGGGGCATTCTCCTGACTGGCAGCATCTTAAGCCAGCTGAAGACAAAATGGAGGGGCTTCCAAGGCCTTTTATATACTCTCTCTTGTGGGTGGAAACCCCTTTGTTCTTCTGTTAAAATCACAGCAGCAAGATGGAGTTTGTAGCCACCTGGGCAAGTCACATGTCCATGAATGAATCAGCTTTTTGCAGGCCAATGCCATTGTTTACCTGTTAGCTCAGCAGATGTGGATTGGCGTCTCCCAAAATCCATTGTTAGTCAAGTACTTCCAGTTACTTGAATAGTCCCTTCACAATAGGTTGGACAAACCTCCCTTATGTGTTTCCCACAGCAAACATTTCAAATACAAGCATAGAGCCAACGCTCATAACTTCAGATATAAAAATGATACATGCATACAAATAGGATGAATATATTCAATAGATCATAACCTTTGCAAAGATATGTTAAATGGCATATTTAGCATAATGCATATTTCAGTTATGTCATATTTATATTCATCAGCATATTTTCATAAAGCATGTGGAGTGCAACGTCACACCTTTACTCTTCAAAGGCTTTAACTGCTTTCCTTTCTTATCCTGTGCCTTTAGTAACAGGTTTTGAATGGTGATAACTTGACCTGAAACCCCAGATCACATTTAATTGTTTAATGTTCAAACCCTTGTTCCCTTTTACATGAACAGTTATTCTCTTGGCTGCCTGAGACCGCCACTTATTGAAGCCACAGGGTTCCATGGGAAATGATTTCAAATCATTTGAAGGAAGGATATTTTGTCTTTAATTAAATAGAAAAGTTAGAGCCTGATTCTGCATTTCTTGCGCGCCCCCCCTCCCCCAAATTGCCACCAGCTTCAGTGGGATTTGGGGGGACCCAATGGAATATAGGATTAACTTTATATAAATGCGTTTGCATGAACTTTACAGCACCTTGTACACTATTGGTGCTATAAAATAACATCGAAAACAAACAAAAAACCCTCATATCTGAGCATTGTCCTTGTAGGGACAAGTCCTTCCCTAACTGCACAGGAGATTTGGACACAACTAACTTCGGAAATCTCTCCCTGGTGGTTATGTGTAAAGTTATTTAATCTGCACATTTTCACTGGTCTGGGGCAGAGAAATGGACAGAACTCGCCTTCTGGCTGGCACCATGCCCTGCCCCCACTCCAGTAAGTGCTTTGGATCAAGGCCTCTGCAGAAGGAGAATTTTGCCCTAACAGTGGGGGACTGTCTGGCTCTGAAGCGCAGTGTGAATTAGCCAGGCTGGGAGCTCAGCTGCTGTCAGCCCAGCACTGGAAAGTCCCCAGAGTGAGAGTGTTACAGGGAGAAACGCAGGAGTTACAGAACTCAGGATGTGGCAGCAAATAGCAGCACCCCTGGCAGCAGCGGGAGGAAAAGGAGGAAGAGAAGGAAAGAGATGACAGTCCTGAAGATCACCCTGCTCATAGACCAGCTCCTCACCTCTGCTATGGGGCACCAGACTAGATAAAACAGGCTGCAATGGGATGCCTCCAGGATGAGGGGCAGCAGTTGGGAGGGGAATGGGAGTGGCTGAAAGGCTAGTAAGACTATTCACTTTAACATTCTAACTCAGTGGTTCTCAAATTTTTTTTTCGTGGACCACTTGAAAATTGGTGAGGGTCTCGGTAGACCACTTAATGATCTTTCCAAATGTCTTTCCCCCTCCAGAGCAGCTGAGGCTGGGAAGGAAGTGGGGGTGTCTCCCCCGCCACAGCAGCCCCCGAGCTGGGGCTGGGAAGGAGGGGGATCTCTCCCCAGCAGCTGCAGTCCTGGAACTGGGGAAAGTTACCTCTTTCTCTTGCTGCCGCAGCCCTGCATGTCCCAAATTCCCCCCACCCTCTCGTCTCACCCCACTGCCCCCCCACCTACCTCCTATTTCCCCCACCTCACCCCACTGCTTCCTCCCACCTGGCCCCTATTCCCCCCAAGGCCACCACCTCACCTTACATGTGTGTCTTCTTCAGGGTCCAGGCACCTAATTAACGCAGGCGTGGCTCCACTAATTAGGTGGGCGGCCCTTCATTTTCTCGTGTGCGGCCGCCCAGGTGCGCCCCTTAGAGGGAACTATCTGCGGACCACCTGAATGGAGCTCGCGGACCACTGGTGATCCACGGACCACAGTTTGAGAACCTCTAACTGTAAGGAGGCTCTGATCTGGGAGGGGTTTAGAAGCATCCAATTGCTACAGCTGCATCCGAGGTTTTATGGCAGGTGGAAAGTGACCAGTCACGCTGGCAGCTGAAATCGCCATTCACACTGAGGATATTTTACTCACACCTGCTTATTTGCTCATGCTCATTATCTGCATTGCTGAGTGATAAGACCCGTCCCTGCTGGGACTGATTTACCTGGTTCTGTTCAGAACTGAGCTGGGGGAGCTGATGTTTCTTATGACCAAATTCTACCTTCTCTCTATTAGCTTGTTCTTCCAGTATAGCCGATAATCAAGAGTGTTTGTAACAATCTGCATTTAATAACCTGTGTAACTAGACAAGCTTTATTTGATGACAGGTGTATCCACACTCAATATGTTCTGGTCCATTCCCTGTGTGTTCATGTATTCTGAGTGTTTATTAAATCATGTTGCAGTAGTTTTATAGTTTAATAAAAATAGATTTGATCTGGATCAGGCATTTGTGTCTGTCTTTTCCAGACCACATTCTAACACCAAACCACCGGGAGGGATGACCCCAGACCTCAAGAAACCCATCCCCCATTCAGATCTGGAGTTTTTTTGATTGTTTATTACTATGTTTATTTCCATGATTTGTTAACATCAGAAATAATTTCCTCAGAGATTACAGAACAATCAGACTTGATAAAGGAATGAATCCCACATTATGACAAGCCTCTGTCACAGCTGGCTACAGCTGCCTCTCCCCCTCAGGGCACCCCCTAAAGATCAGTGTCACATGTTTGGGCCTCAGAGAGACAAGATGGGTGAGGTAATATCTCGTATTGGACCACCTTCTGAATAAGCTGGTCCAATACAAAACATTACCTCACCCACCTTGTCTCTCTAATATCCTGAGACTCACATGGCTACAACTACACTGCATACAACATGTTAGGGCCTTGACAGTCTGCATGTGGAGGTTCTTTGTTGCTCTGTGAAGAGCCTGGATTGAGAGTCATGGACTCTAACACAGATGGACACTAGACAAGATCTCTTCTTCCACCAGGGCTGTTACCCATATTAGGGCCATTTAAAAAAAAAATTCTGGAAACAAGATCTGCCTGTGTGCCCTTTGTTGAAGCAGCCCCACCTTACACTGTGGTGGGAAGAACACCTCAACAGCCCAACACTGTGGCATTTAATTTCAGAAAGGGGAACTATGCAAAAATGAGGAGGTTAGTTAAACAGAAATTAAAAGGTACAGTGACTAAAGCGAAATCCCTGCAAGCTGCATGGGTGCTTTTTAAAGACACCATAATAGAGGCCCAACTTCAATGTATACCCCAAATTAAAAAAACACAGTAAAAGAACTAAAAAAGAGCTACCATGGCTTAACAACCATGTAAAAGCAGCAGTGAGAGAGAAAAAGGCATCTTTTAAAAAGTGGAAGTCAAATCCTAGTGAGGTAAATAGAAAGGAGCATAAACACTGCCAAATAAAATGTAAAAATGTAATAAGAAAAGCCAAAAAGGAGTTTGAAGAACAGCTAGCCAAAAACTCCAAAGGTAATAACAAAATGTTTTTAAGTACATCAGAAGCAGGAAGCCTGCTAAACAACCAGTGGGGCCCCTGGACGATCGAGATACAAAAGGAGCACTTAAAGACGATAAAGTCATCGCAGAAAAACTAAATTAATTCTTTGCTTCAGTCTTCATGGCTGAGGATGTTAGGGAGATTCCCAAACCTGAACTTTCTTTTGTAGGTGACAAATCTGAGGAATTGTCACAGATTGAAGTGTCACTAGAGGAGGTTTTGGAATTAATTGATAAACTTAACATTAACAAGTCACCGGGACCAGATGGCATTCACCCAAGAGTTCTGAAAGAACTCAAATGTGAAATTGCAGAACTATTTTTATGGTTTGTAACCTGTCCTTTAAATCGGCTTCTGTACCCAATGACTGGAAGATAGCTAATGTAACGCCAATATTTAAAAAGGGCTCTAGAGGTGATCCTGGCAATTACAGACCGTAAGTCTAACATCAGTACCGGGCAAATTAGTAGAAACAATAGTAAAGAATAAAATTGTCAGACACCTAGAAGAACATAAATTGTTGCGCAAAAGTCAACATGGTTTCTGTAAAGGGAAATCGTGTCTTACTAATCTATTAGAGTTCCTTGAAGGGTCAACAAACATGTGGACAAGGGGGATCGGGTGGACATAGCATACTTAGATTTCCAGAAATCCTTTGACAATGTCCCTCACCAAAGGCTCTTACGTAAATTAAGCTGTCATGGGATAAGAGGGAAGATCCTTTCATGGATTGAGAACTGGTTAAAAGACAGGGAACAAAGGGTAGGAATTAATGGTAAATTCTCAGAATGGAGAGGGGTAACTAGTGGTGTTCCCCAAGGGTCAGTCCTAGGACCAATCCTATTCAACTTATTCATAAATGATCTGGAGAAAGGGGTAAACAGTGAGGTGGTAAAGTCTGCAGATGATACTAAACTGCTCAAGATAGTTAAGACCAAAGCAGACTGTGAAGAACTTCAAAAAGATCTCACAAAACTAAGTGATTGGGCAACAAAATGGCAAATGAAATTTAATGTGCATAAATGTAAAGTACTGCACATTGGAAAAAATAACCCCAACTATACATACAATATGATGGGGGCTAATTTAGCTACAACTAATCAGGAAAAAAATCTTGGAGTCATCGTGGATAGTTCTCTGAAGGTGTCCATGCAGTGTGCAGCGGCGGTCAAAAAAGCAAACGGGATGTTAGGAAGCATTAAAAAAGGGATAGAGAATAAGACGGAGAATATCTTATTGCCCCTATATAAATCCATGGTATGTCCATATCTTGAATACTGCGTACAGATGTGGTCTCCTCATCTCAAAAAAGATATACTGGCATTAGAAAAGGTTCAGGGAAGGGCAACTAAAACGATTAGGGGTTTGGAACGGGTCCCATATGAGGAGAGATTAAAGAGGTTGGGACTTTTCAGCTTGGAAAAGAGGAGACGAAGGGGGGATATGATAGAGGTCTATAAAATCATGAGTGATGTGGAGAAAGTGAATAAGGAAAAGTTATTTACTTGTTCCCATAATACAAGAACTAGGGGACACAAAATGAAATTAATGGGCAGCAGGTTTAAAACAAATAAAAGGAAGTTCTTCTTCACACAGCGCACAGTCAACCTGTGGAACTCCTTGCCTGAGGAGGTTGTGAAGGCTAGGACTATAAAAGGGTTTAAAAGAGAACTAGATAAATTCATGGAGGTTAAATCCGTTAATGGCTATTAGCCAGGCTGGGTAAGGAATGGTGTCCCTAGCCTCTGTTTGTCAGAGGATGGAGATGGATGGCAGGAGAGAGATCACTTGATCATTACCTGTTGGTCCACTCCCTCTGGGGCACCTGGCATTGGCCACTGTCGGTAGACAGGATACTGGGCTGGATGGACCTTTGGTCTAACCCGGTTCGGCCGTTCTTATGTTCTTATGTTCTTTACAATAGCAGCCATAGGTCTATGTGGATGAGCTAAGCAGTCCTGCATGCTGATACACCTGACACAGCAGAGAGAACGGTTGCCTTTTATTTAAAGTGATTTTAGCAATGTTGTATTTTACCACAATGGGTTTGGCTCTGGTGGCTACAGTTTCAAGCAAAACAGAGTGAAAGTCACCTCTGTACTTGCTTCAGATTTAAAGTCTCTAGGAACACATAAAGACCAAGGCTAGTGGCCACACAGACATTCACAAGTACAAGATCTAGTCTGTTTCACAAGTTATATGAAAGTTATGATTACAAGCACATAGAAATTCTATACAGACCTATGCACAAGTTACAAGGTGAATATAGCTGGATCACTTGGTAATAGTGACCATAACATAATTAAATGTAACAGCCCTGTGGTGGCAAAAACACCACAGCAGCCCAACACTGTAGCATTTAATTTCAGAAAGGGGAACTACACAAAAATGAGCAGGTTAGTTAAACAGAAACTAAAAGGTACAGCGCCAAAAGTGAAATCCCTGCAAGCTGCGTGGATACTTTTTAAAGACACCATAATAGAGGCTCAAATTAAATGTATACCCCAAATTTAAAAACATAGTAAGAGAACCAGAAAAGAGCCAACGTGGTTAAACAACAAAGTAAAAGAAGCAGTGAGAGGCAAAAACGCATCCTTTAAAAAGTGGAAGTTAAATCCCGTTGAGGAAAATAGAAAGGAGCATAAACACTGGCAAATGAAGTGTAAAAATATAATTAGGACGGTCAAAAAAGAATTTGAAGAACAGTTAGCCAAAGACTCAAAAAGTAATAGCAAAAAAAAAAAATTAAGTACATCAGAAGCAGAAGGTCTGCTAAACAACCAGTGGGGCCACTGGATGATCAAGATGCTAAAGGAGCACTCAAGGATGATAAGGCCATTGCAGAGAAACTAAATGAATTCTTCGTATCAGTTTTCATGGTTGAGGATGTGAGGGAGATTCCCAAATCTGAGCCCTTCTTTTTAGGTGGCAAATCTGAGGAACTGTTCCAGATTGAGGTGTCATTAGAGGAGATTTTGGAACAAATTGATAAACTAAACACTAATAAGTCACCAGGACCAGCTGGTATTCACCCAAGAGTTCTGAAGGAACTCAAATGTGAAATTGCAGAACTACTAACTGTAGTCTGTACCCTATCATTTAAATCAGCTACTGTATCAATTGACTGGAGGATAGTTAACGTGACGCCCATTTTAAAAAGGGTTCCAGAGGTGATCCCGGCAACTACAGGCCAGTTAAACTAACTTCAGTACCAGACAAACTGGTTGAAATTATAGCAAAGAACAAAATTGTCAGACACATAGAAGAACATAATTTGTTGGGAAAGAGTTAGCATGGTTTTTGAAAAGGAAAATCATGCCTTACCAATCTACTAGAATTCTTTGAGGGAGTCAACAAGCATATTCATAGATTCATAGATTCTAGGACTGGAAGGGACCACGAGAGGTCATCGAGTCCAGTCCCCTGCCCGCATGGCAGGACCAAATACTGTCTAGACCATCCCTGATAGACATTTATCTAACCTACTCTTAAATATCTCCAAAGATGGAGATTCCACAACCTCCCTAGGCAATTTATTCCAGTGTTTAACCACCCTGACAGTTAGGAACTTTTTCCTAATGTCCAACCTAGACCTCCCTTGCTGCAGTTTAAGCCCATTGCTTCTTGTTCTATCCTCAGAGGCTAAGGTGAACAAGTTTGCTCCCTCCTCCTTATGACACCCTTTTAGATACCTGAAAACTGCTATCATGTCCCCTCTCAGTCTTCTCTTTTCCAAACTAAACAAACCCAATTCTTTCAGCCTTCCTTCATAGGTCATGTTCTCAAGACCTTTAATCATTCTTGTTGCTCTTCTCTGGACTCTTTTCAATTTCTCCACATCTTTCTTGAAATGCGGTGCCCAGAACTGGACACAATACTCCAGCTGAGGCCTAACCAGAGCAGAGTAGAGCGGAAGAATGACTTCTCGTGTCTTGCTCACAACACACCTGTTAATACATCCCAGAATCACGTTTGCTTTTTTTGCAACAGCATCACACTGTTGACTCATATTTAGCTTGTGGTCCACTATAACCCCTAGATCCCTTTCTGCCGTACTCCTTCCTAGACAGTCTCTTCCCATTTTGTATGTGTGAAACTGATTTTTTCTTCCTAAGTGGAGCACTTTGCATTTGTCTTTGTTAAACTTCATCCTGTTTAACTCAGACCATTTCTCCAATTTGTCCAGATCATTTTGAATTATGACCCTGTCCTCCAAAGCAGTTGCAATCCCTCCCAGTTTGGTATCATCCGCAAACTTAATAAGCGTACTTTCTATGCCAATATCTAAGTCGTTAATGAAGATATTGAACAGAGCCGGTCCCAAAACAGACCCCTGCGGAACCCCACTCGTTATGCCTTTCCAGCAGGATTGGGAACCATTAATAACAACTCTCTGAGTACGGTTATCCAGCCAGTTATGCACCCACCTTATAGTAGCCCCATCTAAATTGTATTTGCCTAGTTTGTCGATAAGAATATCATGCGAGACCGTATCAAATGCCTTACTAAAGTCTAGGTATACCACATCCACAGCTTCTCCCTTATCCACAAGACTCGTTATCCTATCGAAGAAAGCTATCAGATTGGTTTGACATGATTTGTTCTTTACAAATCCATGCTGGCTGTTCCCTATCACCTTACCACCTTTCAAGTGTTTGCAGATGATTTCCTTAATTACTTGCTCCATGACATTCCTAATGCCTTGCCTCTGTTTGGAGGGACAATGCCCCACTGCTGCACTCCCCTCCAAATTACATCCATGTCCCTGTACTGCAAACAGGAGGCTCCGGGAGCAGCTCGGGCGGGGTGGCTCCAAGCCAGGGGAAGGGGCAGGAGCAGCAGCAGCTGCAGATGGCTGCTGAGCAGTGGGGAGAGAAGGGGCAGGGTGCCCCTGCTCTGGAGGCACCCTGTTGTGGGGTAGGTACACCCCATCATGGTGTATGAAAGGGAAAGGCTGTACCGCAGCCGGTTTGATTCTATGCTGCCGACCCTGATTATAACATGTGGCAGTATGTCCTAGTGGCTGGAGTCAGCCCTTCTTTAGAGGGCAGCATGGTCCAATGGTCGGCATCAATAGAGTAGGCCCCCCCATATGGGGTTGCGTGGCTTATTGGCAGGAGTCAATAAAGTCGCCTGTCTTCGCAGGGCTGTGTGGCCTATTGGCCCACTGGGGAAGTGGGGCACCACCTAGGAGTGTTTGGCACCCGGGGTAGGGAGACTTGGGGCCTCCTGGTGCCTCCAAGTCCCACCTCAGGGCCCTGGCAGTGGCGAGCATGCTCACCATTGAGTCCCCCTGAAACACGCTGAGCTGTTCCCCTGTTCTCCAATTGGAGTAATGTCTTAGTCCCCTGGGCTGATTCCTATCCCATCTTCCACTACGTGGTCCATGGTTCTCTGGGGTCCTCAGCTAGTGCAGCGCCTAACGGCTCGGTCCATTCTCTGGATTCCACAGGCAGCCTGGAATCCGTCTGGGGCTCGGCGCGCCTTGGCTCTGTGGTTGGGGCCTGTAGCAGTTCCCGGGAGAGAGCCTGCAATCTGCACCCTTCCTCTTCAGCAGCCTGCCCAGACTGAGCTGGGCAGCTTCCTTTTATATCCTGCCTACAGTCTGAGCATGCCCAGCAAAGGCAGAGGGGCTTGGCCTCCTCAGTCTGCAATGTGCAGTTAACCTCTGCGGGGCCAGTGCAAGGTAAGTACATCCTGTTATACTTCCCCATCGGCAAGGCATCCCATGGGCGGTTACGCAATCTGTCCGCTCCTAAGGCATGCCCCTTATACACAGCCATGTTTGAAAACCCAGACCGGAATCTGTAGGGCTTCTGAGGCTTCTGTCCATCAACATCATGAGATTCATTTCTCCTTCCTGTCCTTTGTTCCAAACATTTATCTTTCCCCTCATGACTTGTGGAATATAAAGAAAGGGCAGGAGATACCTTATAGTCCCTTATATTGACTCCATCTCCAGTGACACTTGGACTCTCCCAGGTGAGAGTTACGGCAGATGAATCTACAGTATCTGTTACAGGCTTCCCAGGCGGGCTGGTAGGGGGAAGAGTCTTCACAGGATCACTCACGTCGCTGCTCTCGCTGAGCCCTGGTTTGCTCACTGCAGCGTATCGGAACTGGTACTCGGTGTTTGCACGTAACCCTGTTACTGTGAATGTCACTTGTGTGTTATTTACAGTCACAGCCGTCCAGTTCTCCTGCCCTACAATTCTGTACTCTGCCCGATAGCCAGATATCGTAGCCCTGCCATAGGCTGCTGGGTTAAACGTGAGCTGCACACGGTCATGTCTGATTCCATCAATCAGGGGAGGAAGAGGCTTTGATGGAGGCTCAAAGTTGGTGCTGATCAGCTCTCCCTCCTCATACAGGTAAATGGCAGTGCCTGGATTGTCCTTGTTAGCAACAAAGGACACAATGAACCGAATTTTCCCATTAGATTTATTGACACGAGCAAAGTCTATGAAGGATTTTACAGATTCTCGTACTTTTCTGCCTAAAACTTTCTGTGTAAACCACAGTCTGGCATTTTGATTGTCCCCCGTAGAACTGCCTGATGCTGAATGATTAATTTCTCTTATAGACTTGTTCTGAAGCCAGAGTTTTAAATCTGATAAATATGGCTCCTCTTCGTGGAATGAGGTGAAGGTAAATGAGATGACAAAGTCATGCATGGGGCTGAGTACTGTTTTTGCTAGCTCACTCTGGGAGGAGACCAATTCCACATCCTTTAAGGCAGTAAGGTAGGAATGCACTAATGTCATCTCTTGCTGTTTTGTATTTATAAATTCAGTAAGACACTGGATACTGAATGGGGATTGCTCTTTGCTGGTTACAATGTTCATCAGAGCTTCTTCCTCCTCTTCTCCTCCACGGATCGAAGGTAAGATTCCTGCTATCTGTTTCTTGAAAGTCTCTCTGTATTGTTTACACAGCTCTCTGAATTGCTGGATTTTCCTCTTGGTCTCAGGGAAGACTGTGGCAGGTGTGTTCAGCATGTCATTGCATTGCCTGTCACATTCAATCAATTGCTCTAACACAGCCTGAGCATCAGAAATCAGCCCTAGGCTGATCTCACGCACTATACGAGCAGCTCTGGAATCCAGCTGCTTCAGCGGGTACAGCCAGACTCTCACTGGTACAGCCTGCTCCCCGCTGTCACCCAGCAGCTTGGGGAGGGTGGAATAAATTTCCATGGCTTCCGGATAAGAAACTGGATTGTTCTTGAGAGGAAAATCCCCATAAATTGTGCAACTGACATTTTCAACCTTTTCCTTCTCAGGCATCTCTAAACTTCCATCTCCTTTCATTGCAGCCTTTGGTATCTTTGCTACCATAAGGCTCAGGTTTTCCTCTGCCTCGTGTACATTTTCCGGTGAAGATATTTCCTGATCAAACACAAAGAAGGCCTGGGCCCCATAGAGCACAGCTACGATGCCATGGGTGGCTGTGCCTTGGGCAAAGACATCAGGGTAAGAGACGTTCTCAGGTGTTACATGGTTCATTGTCAGCCGCTCCAACCTCGCTGTTGTTGAGTAGTGCAGAGTAACTCGGGCTTGATTTTTTGATTTCTTCGTGTCACTTAAATATGCTGCAGAGCCATTCATCCCAACCAACCCGCTCAGACAACTCAGCCTCAGGGATGGACTGACAGTGAGAGCAGAGGCCTTATCTGTAATGGTGTCAAACGCAATGATTTGAAATTCAGCCCTGGGCTCTTTCCTTACGCCCATGTCCTTCTGAATGACTTCAGTGTCCCATAACGTGATGCCTGCAACATTCCAAACATACAGTTAGTGACCAATGGCAGGGGCAAGAAACCTTTCTAGAGCTTAATTGTCTGCTGCTGCCGCAGGTACAGCCATGTTTGTGTAAGCGGGGGAATGGTCCCGCTATTGTGGGGAACTTTCCTGGCTTCTGCACTACCCCGGTGAACTGGGCTAGCGAAAGGATCTGAGTCCTCGCTCCCACTTCCCTTACCCAGAGGCCTCCCTGCCCTCGAGGACTCCCCTTGCACTCTCCTGTCTGGCAGAGTCCTCGTAACCCCGACAAGGCTGGGCCCAGGATTCCTGGGGGGCTCGACCCCCAACCCTGCTGTGGTCACTTAGGTCAGGGGCTAGGGTGTCCCCACTCCGGGGTACTCTCTCTGCACTGGGCACCTCCCTGACCCACTGATCATTTCATACAATTTAAAGCAAATCCAAGTTGTTTAATTAACAATTAATTATAAAAAAAGAATAAGGAAAAATGGAAAATGTTGAAGGAAAACCCATCACCCCGCTCTGTGGCCGGGAACATCACAAACAGTGTCTCTGGAACGTCAGGGCAGGTCACAGTCTGTTCCTTGTAGGTCCCAGGCTCCTTCTCAGGCCCTGGC